GAGAATGACCGGCCCAAGGCCACCAGTGAGTTTCAGGGGCCTTTGAACCTAAATCTCTGAAGGTGCAGTCAGATACTTTCCACCACAATGCCACACAGGCTCTCTCATGTTCTTGCTTTGGTTTTGCCGCATGTTACAGAATACAGAAAAGGAAGAGGGCTTTACAGGAGAACAGGGAAAAATAAAAAAGAGTTGGAACTAGGGTGGCCCAAGTCATTTTTTCACATTCACAAAACTTCCCTTCCAGGATCTTCAGAGTGCCCACACAAACCCATATGCACACGCACACATACACAATATATTTTGTTCCTAGAGACATTTAAAAGATCCACCAACTCTCTCCCCCAAATTAAAGGAGCTATCTGAACCCTTCCTGATTGCATTTTCTATATATACAGAAAGAGACGCACACATACACAATATATTTTGTTCCTAGAGACATTTAAAAGATCCACCAACTCTCTCCCCCAAATTAAAGGAGCTATCTGAACCCTTCCTGATTGCATTTTCTATATATACAGAAAGAGAGAGAGATTTAGCTATTTCCAAGCTTGGTGCATGCCATAGTGACTGCAGAGGGCTATATTATGGCCTCCAGGCCCGCTAAAGTTGCCCATTCTTAAGAGACCCTTCCATGAAGTCCTGCTCAGAGAAGCAAATTGGTACATGTTCAGCCAGTGAACAGGGGAGGAGCTGGAAGAGGCTAAAAGGTGAAATAGGAAAGAAGGAAGCAGGATATATTTGACTGCTCAATGATTTTGCTCCTGTCATCTATGGTCCAGGAAGGCCTCTGTCTGGAATATTATCAATCAGATAAGCTAACCTGTTCATCAAGCCTCCTTTTAAGAGTACAAAGCCTACTGAATAAGCAGGTCTCTTATAACCTATCTTTTATATACTTTGGAAAATTTGAGAATCTCTCCACCTGGAATTGTCCTCCCATTTCGAGAATATATTTGGAGGTGCAATTATTTTTCTGCAGTTCAGTGCATTGTTCAGTACTGACAAAACCTGCCTTTCAGCCCTGTGATAGAGCTGCTGAAAACAAAGGAAAGTATGAATCATTGTGTCCCTCAGGAATCACTACAATAGAAAAAGCCTGTGTCCATGCACTCTGCTTATCATAATGATGGGCATTTTCCCTAGTGAAGAAAAAGGCCTCAAACTAGAACCTGGGCTATTTCCTTTTTTGGGACTATAGCTCCCAGTAGTCCATGGTGCTGGGTGGTTCTAGGTATCATAGTCCATAAACAGAACTTCTCCAAGTTCTACCCAATAGATCCAATCCAAACAAAAAGTTACAATAATGCCATGGTAATGATGGTGGTGAGAATGATGCTGATTTTATTGAAAAGGAAAAGAAAGAAGAAAAGAAAGATCAAATTTGTAGCTTTTCCCTTGATATATTTGAGAACAGCTCCCATTGTCTTGAGCCAGTGTGCCTACCAGTATTTCACGTGCTTCTGCAATGAGGCAGAGATGACATTTTTGGAAATGGTTTGGATGGGGGTAAATGGCAACTCGCTGTCCTCTTTGCACTGTACAGTGATTTAAAAATTCAAAACATCAGGTATCTTAAAACATGATGGATGAAATCCCTTTCCATAAATTATGCCACATTGACTTCGCTGCCAGTGGTGATTTGGAAATTAAAGATTCCCCCCACCCCATCCTGCAGTCATCAATGGACATTCAGAAGAGAGTTGGAAACGTTCTATTCCCAAAAAATCAGTGTGGCTGAGGATGTCATCCATCTTATATAGCACATGGATATGGAACCACGATTCCTGAGTCCTAGCCCAACACTGTGTTCCAAAACAAGATACCGATGCATATAACCTAGCAAAATAGCCAAGACAAATAACACCAGCTTAGACGAGTAAGAGAAACACAAGATGTTTAAATATGATTAAGTCAAGATATGCAATAGCTCTATATTCTATGAAGAGTAATTAAACCATTATTTTTTTATAAATTAAGGCTATAATGTATTTGTAGACTGACATTTTAGAAACACTGGCATAATACTGTACTTTTTTTTTCATTTTATAGGAAGATGAATTACTTTAACACAGCATTTGCATAGTCTCCAGGCTTTTCTGATTTACATTAATCACCACCAGGGAATACAGCAGTTAGACAATTAGAACACTTAAATGGGCAATGCTGGAACATCTAACTGTTATGCAAAGTATTGTTTCAGGAATCAGGAAGAATAGCAACCTTCCCTGAGTCACAAGGGAGAGAACAAAAGTTGCCTATCTTCATTTGCAGCCAACTTTCTCTTGGCTCAAGGGACTCCTTTTAATACTTCTCCACCCCCATGTTTCCTTTACTACATTAATTTGGTTTTATATAAATTATGTTTTGAAAACTTTTTCTTTGCTAAAAAATGAGAATGAAAGGCTGAAATCCTGTTACTTAGTTTGTTAAGTGGCACTAGAGTAGGCTCACTGAATGAGTGGAGATTTGGTGTGTTGACTCATCCATAAGTTTCACTGATTCAAATAGGCCTACTCTAGTGCATCTTAATACACCAAATTAAACCACAACTAGAGTAGGCTTATTTGAATCAATGGAATTTACTGAGGAGCTGACTTACCAAATCCTCACTCATTCAATGGACGTACTCTAGTGAGCCTTACTAGGCTAAGCAATAGGATTTCAGACAAAGTTAAATGCATGATTTTGACAAAAATGTATTTTAGAAGTGCTTTTAAGAGTTGTGAAAAGTCATGACTGAACTGTTGGTACGTATTCATTATTCTCTTTTAATAAGCATATCTTAGAAACATGTATAAAAGCAAATTTTGTTTTAGAAAAGTATTGGGATAAAAGTACATTTTTGAAATCCCTATGTCAGAGGGTCTCCTTAAACTGATGCTCACAGACCACTTGTCCCCTACAAGTTCTGTTCCACAGAAAAACTGAAGAACAGACAAGCATATCTGTACTCAACTTCCCCCTCCCAATGACTGATACTCAGCTTGCTTTGACCACAGTCAGATTACTGAAGAACCGAATAAGGCCTTGCAAGGCCGAAGATCTTCATAGCAAAATTCCAGATGCAGTCTATTAATTTTCATCTGAACAAAGTTAAAGAGACCCTTTTCAAGAGCTTGATTTAGTTACATGATCTTCATCATAAAGTACAGGTTCTGACAACATCAGAGTAGTCTTTAACATTATTATGTGCTTTGATCATCTTATTAGCAAATTATTATCTAATCAATAAGCTTGAAAACCACTGCTCTATTTAATCATTCTGATAGAAATCCATTGAAAATTCGTTGAAATGTCGTTTCACTTTTGTGCAACAATGGTTGTGAACCAGTGAATCTTAGTAGCTCCCCCCTCATTCCGTTCTTTAGCACTGAAAAATTATCTTTTAGGATAAGATCTTCCAAAATCTACCAGCCAGCATGATTATTGGCCAGCCTGGCTGGATATTTCTATGAACTGACATATGAAAAGGCAACTTTTTCAAGTTTTGAAGCCAGCTCTTATATTAATCAGCCACTGTCTAGCTTATCTGGTTGTTGAAGCAACAAAAATGTTACGGTGAGCTTGTCAGCTGCCATTTTAAATACTTACCATATCTCTGAAATATTCTCCATCTTAGACAATATAGGGAATTTTAAACAGCAGTTCACAGACACAATTACATCAGCACCAGAAAAAAAAGGGGAAGGTGGGTGGTAATGTCAGGCCCTGCCTGTTTGCTAAGGCCATGCATTTTGTAACTATTTGTGACTATTGTCTCTTTATAACACATATGAACACAATCCAATGAGAACCATCTTTTATTTATACCAACAATATTAACATGAAGAATAAGTAATCTATAAATATTTTAAAAGTATCAGTGAGAATAGTTTTATAGCAATTAACCTTGAAATATTTATTCATATAATTCATGAACTGTACTAAGCCATTTAGCTGATTTACTGTTTATTTACTTTTGTCAATAAACATATTAATTTATCTTTCCATAAAGGAACAAAGCCATCCAGGTAAAACGACATGCTTTTGAAAGCCATGCCTTAATTGTTAGAGACTTGGACTTAATACCAATAGGTAACTATTAAAATTTCAGCCAATGTTAATAAATTCCATACCAGATTGACAAGTTCAGGTCAAATAGTGGCTTCCAAATATTTCAACAAAAATAATACAAAAAGAGTTGACATAGGACAGCCAAATGACATTGCCAGTCATTTCTTCAACGGTAAATCACAAAACACACAAATGTAACTACTGTACATGCAGCAGCATGTCTCACTGAGTACTGCCTGTTGATATTTATAGGGCTAGTTGGAATGGACAAGCTGTGGCCCTCCAGATGTTGTTAAACTGCAACTCACATCAGTACTAGCCAAGACAGTCAATGGGGAGGATGGGAGTTGTTCCAACAAAAAGGTCACAGGTTGCCCACACCTGTAACAGGATGACATGATAGCATCTTGTAGTAAGCAGGTCTTATCTCTTTAAGAAAGAAGTGTAAATAGCAACTCCTCTTTCTTTCTGACTGGATGTGATTTCTTTAGGGCCAATCATCTGGGACACTTTGGTGAGTACAGGATGCTTTATTCCTATTGACTGCTTGCTCTGTTTAATTATATGGCACCTCTTATCTTACATTGTTCAGTAAAGACAGACCTCCCGCCCCACAACACTGTTTATTTGTTCCTATGCTTTAAAATTCATGGAAATTCCCAAAGGGGGCGGGGATTGTGAGTTGACAACACATAACGACGACAAGCCAAAGTTGGTGCTAGTGCTGAACTTCTAAACAGCACAAAAGCAACTTTGATGCATTTTCAGGGAGATATTAAACACTAGATTAAAATATATATTTGATACTTTGAAGTGTAATTTAAGAGATATTATCATTTTCTTGCTTTGTGCATTTTTTTCACTCAAAGGAAGAATAGTACAAAGAAAATCTCCCCTCCACGCCCCCCCGGACAACACATTTTCAATTATACAATTCTTATTACCTGTAATAAATGCGAAGGGTCTGCAGCTCTTCTTCTAGGTTTTTATATTGTTCAGCAGTAGCCTCTCTCTCTTGTTGCATAGCCAGCAATCTCTCCTACAAATAAATAATTGGTGAAATACTTTTCCCCCTTTCTTTTTTTTCCAGAACAACAGTAAAAGAGGATCGCTTTATGAATGCTAGCTAGCATTATGTGCCATTCTAATGCAATTTAGCACTGCATTCTTATGCATTGTTTACTCGAAAGTGCAAAACTGGGGAAAAAAATTTGGAGTACCGATCTCAGAATCACTCATTCAGCACTTGAACTTGAAAATGTTTAGTGCATTTAATCAGCTTATTAATTCATTAATTAAACTGTAGTTTCAAAATAAACAGTGAGATCCATGGAGAATGCCATGTAGGTTGTCATCAGTGATCTCTAGTAGCACATATGTTATTGGCTCCTTCAAAATTCTTTGTTTTGGATTTATTAGTCTTTTTAGAATTACCTTCTTCAACCTGGTATTACCCCCCCATGGACTACAAATCCCATAATACTATCAGCCGGGTAGGCATGGTGCTTAGAGAGTATATTTATTAGATTGGAAAAGGATGTGTGTTCTGGAACACAGCTTCTCATCCTCCTTCCCTAGAGAAAGAGATAACTGTAATAAGACCATCTCTATATAGTGTGTGCAATTTCCTTGACCTCTTCTTTAGCAGAACACTGCAGAAGCTTTGCAGATAAGTATAGTTTTAATAACATTTCTTAGCTCTCTCTAGCCTTACTTTCCTGCAAGTTATAAAGGTCACAATGACCAATTCCTACCACATTCAAAACTTCCACAGGACATTATAGAAGCTAAACATTACTGATTTCAACCTCCCCTGGGCAATTTAGTTTGAGTAATGCTTCTGACATTGGCATTTTGGGACAAAATTAGCAAGTGCAAGAGTAACTAAGCTGGGATGACTTGTATCTCCCCTTCCCTACATGTCTCCAAAGACATTGTGGTAGCTGTTCTAGCTAGAAACTGTTATAGGGAGATGAGAGGCTGAGGGTGGTGGGGTAGTTGTGGCCTCAGAGAGAAAGCATATGATTTATTTTGTTCTAATCCTCCTCCTCTATGGGGCGAGAAATAAATTGTGAGCCAATGCAGTCAGCATAAAATGGGCACAATATACTCTGAACAACCAGCTCTAATCAACCATGTGTGAGAGTCATCTTCTGTACAGTATTTAGTTTTTCAATGACAAACCTAGTTAGAACATGCAATTGTCAAGTCTTGATGTGAACGAGGCAAATATGATTGGCCAGGTTGTTTTGCTCTCTAGGTTTCTTTATCACTACAGCCTTTCCCAGAATTCAGGAAAGTTACTTTTGTTAGGCTATAGTTCACAAAATCAGCATGACTGGTGTGGCATTCTGGGAGATGTAGTCATTTTCCCAGACTTTGGCCTTTTCAACACTTACTTTGTCCAACATTTCTGAAATGCATGCGTAATATAGGAATACAGTAAGGAGCAGAGAATCAGATACAAATATCCATTACAACTATCAGTTCAAGATAGAAACAATGTGGGGATCAAGTATATGCACGACCAAAGTTCTTGCTTAGAACAGGAGGCACTTGCTTCTCACAAGAACAAGGAAGAGTTGATGATACCACAAGGGCAGTTTTCAGTAATTCAGGACTTCCCTCCTAACATCCCACAGCCTCCATGGTTTCCTGATGATGAAAGGGATTACTTGGGACCCATGGGGACCAGGGCATGGGAAGAGGAAGTCTTTAATTTCCCAGAAATTGTCCCAGCTTCGTCTACATTGGCTTGGGCATGTCATGAAAAGGGCTGATGGTCAGATTCCAAAAGATCTCCTGTATGGAGAATTAGTGCAGGGAAAGCGCCCCAAAGGGAGACCACAACTGCGATGCAAGGACATCTGCAAGCGAGATCTGAAGGCCTTAGGAATGGACCTCAACAGATGGGAGACCTTGACATCTGAACGTTCAGCCTGGAGGCAGGCAGTGCATCATGGCCTCTGCCATTTTGAAAAGACACTTGTCCAGCAGGTCAAGGTAAAGAGGCAATCCTGAAACCAGCAAAATCAGGGAGCTGGACAGGGGACATATTGTATTTGTCTCCAGTGTGGAAGGGATTGTCACTCTCGAATTGGCCTTCTCAGCCACACTAGACGCTGTTCCAAGTAATCCATACAGAGCACGTCACCATAGTCTCTCGAGACTGAAGGATGCCTAATCTGTCCCTGCTTCTCCTGTGGAAGTTATATGAACAAGCTTTCAGTCTTTATTTAGCACCAGCTTTCATGGACTTCAGCTTACATCAAATGGAAGGCACCATATTTAGCCACAGAGGATGAAAAACCATAAACCTGATGAGGCATGAAGAAGGTTGTAAGGCATAAAAGCATATGCCAAACAAAATGTTTTAGCCTTCAGGTTTTCACAAGACTGGTTTGTTGTTTGTTGTAATGAACTATTAGGATTAAAATTTTGGAAATTTCTATATTCAATTCCTTTCAACTTTAAGGCCAATGTATTTGCTTTGCTTCTATATTTTTACAGTTTTGTATTTTATATCATGTATTTTTTGCCAAAAGTCTTGGAAGATGCAAAGCTTGATTCCTAGAATTAAACAGTTAAAATCCGGCTTGTGGGTAAAGCTACTGCTTCTAGGATCACAAGCATAACCCACAAAATACAAGAATGCCAGCCAAACCAAACTATTTTCTATAATTACACCCTACCATTGGCAAAACAACCTTCTTGAATATTGAAGGAAAGCATGCTTGAATCAAAGTAGGTGGGTTGTTCCAAGAGGCCAATAATTAACATCCTTGACAATTTTCAGTTTGCTGTGAAGTGCAATTGAAATAGTAGATGGAGAGGAAATGTTTATAGCAGACAAACCCACTCCTCAAGAGATTACCAGCTAGATTCTTTACAGAGGTATCACATCTGATATCCTTTTAGGAGAAAGGTCAGGAGACATAGTCCCTGACTCTCCTTTCACATACACCTTTACTAGCCTGGCATTACTTTCACAAGAATAGTTCCTGGCTTATAGTAATATAAGAAAATAGAAATGGCGCAAGTGGATTTAAAGCAGACAAAGCTGGAAGAGAAAGAAAACAACAGTAATACTAGGCTTGTCACTAATCTCCTCGGTATAATGTTTAAGATAGAAGTAGAACACTAGTGAATGAGAGCGACAGTAACAACCATTTCAGTATGGGCTTTTAAGTACATATGCTACGTGAGAGTACAGTGGCCACATGAAATGGAGGATGGGGTTCCTGTACCTTGAATGACTGAATAGCAGAGTAGCTTGAACCATTGTAGCTTCTTGTACTTTGTAGCTTCTTGTAAACCATTACTTTGACAGTAACATGCGAGATGAAACGCGATGTGGTAAATAAATATGATGTCTAGTATTTTGATATGGAGGAATTTTTTCCCTCTGATTTCAGTAAGGTGATTTCTCTTCACTTGCAGTCACACTTGGTATAACTATTTCCTGTAGAACGAGCTGGAATTTTCAGCTTGAATACATTACTGAAACAGCGACGTCTACGTTGGCTTGGGCACGGCGTGAGAATGGCTGATGCTCGGATTCCAAAGGATATCCTGTATGGAGAATTAGTGCAGAGAAAGCGCCCCAGAGGGAGACCACAGCTGCGATACAAGGACATCTGTAAGCGAGATCTGAAGGCCTTAGGAATAGACCTCAACAGATGGGAAACCCTGACATCTGAGCGTTCAGCCTGGAGGCAGGCACTGCATCATGGCCTCTCCCAATTTGAAGAGACCCTTGCCCAGCAGGCTGAGGCAAAGAGGAAATCACAAAAGCAGCAAAACCAGGGAGCTGGACAGGGGACAGATTGGATTTGTCTTCAGTGTGGAAGGGATTGTCATTCTCGAATTGACCTCCTCAGCCACACTAGACGCTGTTCCAAGTCCTCCATACAGACCACGTTACCATAGTCTTTCGAGACTGAAGGATGCCTAACTAATTAACTAACAAAGGAATTTTACAGCAAAGTTTAAAACATGGTGGCAGTAAAGGGAGGGATGGCAAAATATTGTGGCACTTTGAAGACTAAAAAATTTGTCTCATTGTGAGCTCTCCTGTGTTTGAACAGGAAGATTTTGATCTGTGAAAGCTCACACAGTAACAAATCTGTTAGTCTTTAAAGTGCTGCAATATTTGGTTCCCCAAAAAAACCTTTTGAAGAGTGGACAGCAAGCTAAAACATATTAACATGCTTACCTCTTTGGAAATGATATAAAACATGTATCATTGAAAAGACGGTGAACATTATCTAATTAACTTCTGTTGCTGATGAAATTATTTATTTTATTTTATGTTATTTAGTATCATTTGTACACCACCTTTCTCCAGATGAAGGGACTCAAGTTGGCTGACAATGTCAAATAACTGCCATCAATAAAAGGGGCAGATAAGTGTCCCTCCCACTTCCGCTGCTTTATGCTGTCAAATGTGATGGGGGAGGCTTAGGGAACAGGATGATCATTGCTAGATTTCAGCATCTTATGGCCTGCCAAAGAATGCAACACAAATATATGCTAGCATAAATTTAGACAAGAAAAGGGAGCCTCAAAAAAGTTTATTATATTATAAACGTAAAAGAAAAATGTGGTCAGAATTGTCAGCCACTTTGGATGCTGGTCCTAGCTTTAAAAAAATAAGAATCTAGGTAAGGAAAGACAAGCTTTAAACAACAACCATTCAACTGTGTTTCATCTCAGCCAGGGTGGGCATGTTGTACCCTCTCAGTCATCCTTTAACAACCTCCATCTGTCCTACCTGGCATTGCCAGTGGGGCCTGATGTCCAACAACGCTGTGAGGACTCCTGAATTAACACTTAGAGGCTTCTTGACAGATTTGCAAGTTTTAAAAAAAGAATGACTCACTCCATGAGACTGAGGAGAAAAGAAGAGAATTGTAGAGAAGAGGAATAAAGGGTAGGTATTATAAATGCCAAGAGTGGCGGAAGGCCCACGTCACTCCTGTCTATCATAGCTGAAGCTCAAGTGCAGGAGCCTATGAGAAGACAGGAGGGGCGGAGTCA